GTTCAACTTGGAGCGACGTCTAACTAGTCAGTACAAGAACTTTAGGGCCGAGATGGTCGAGAGAGGAGGGGGGGGGCGTGACAACACTGCGCCGACTTTGGTAGCATTCTTTAAAAATTAACTGTACCCTAACCTCCGTGGTCCTTGCTAGGTATGAGTGAATGTTTCGCACCTGAAATGTGTCACTTCCTCCGCCCAAATGTGCACGGGACGGGACTGCAGAGTTGTGATACCCGGATGTCGTCTTCCGATCCCGAACGCGCCACGCACGATCAACCACACGCCTAACTGCAATCAAACGCGCTATTTGTCTACACCCTCTCACTACTTCTGGTTGTTCTCCACATCTGACAACGTGTTCGCTAAGGGATTGTGGTATCGACATACACACATATGTACGTGCACCTTGAATATAGCGCGGCGGAGTTGGGAGACATCCCTCGAGTATCACGGTCCTGTAACCCTGTTCCCATTCACTTTGAGCACAGAAAGCGGCTTGCTACTGCAGCTGCGGACCCATTCATCTCGCACGTGGAAAAGGGGGCCCTTCAAAGCGAATGTACATTTCTTTTTAAGGCTTAGGCTGAGGTAGGAAGTAACCACTGCCTCTGTGAGAGAACTCAGAGGAGCAAATTGATCGAGCCGCAGCTCCCTAACCACCCCCCCCCCTCCTTTCGACTACCGTAGATTTAGGTTGTTGCTTCACGTCATTTAACCGACTCTGTTTCAGACATGGATCTCCGGTGTACTATACAACTTCACGACACACTTTGTTCGTGGTACCGTTGGCGCTCCCAAGGCAGTTTTCACCGATTTGGTCGAATACATTATCAAGAAAAACAACTATGAGGTTAGTGGATTCTAAACTTTCCTCCCGGTACTTTCCATTTCAAGATCGGGTTTTCCTGTTTAGGTTGGCAAATCCAAGCTGTTCATCTCTCCTGATCAGATGAATCCGTTCACTTCTTGTTACAACAGCGATTGCCACGTTAACGCTATCTGTACACCACTCGGAAAGGGATACAGGTGAGGTTCTCACTTCAGAAGGCACTTAAAGGCAATGGGTACGCTGACTGGGTCTGCCGTCTGAAGTAAAAGCAGAGGTGCAAAATGAAGCGACAATAAAGAAAAATGCAACGAAACAGTCAAAAACCGGCGATATAAGGCCCTTAATTTGTGCGCAGATTTCGAGCGGTGGACGAGTTAGTTGCCATCATCCCGTAATAGATCACAGGCAAGGCAACGGGCAACGTCGTTGCTCCCTTGACTCTTTGCGCAGCTAGGTTAGGCGACAGAGTCAGGGAGCACGACGTTGACGTTGCCTTGCCTGTGATCTATTACGGGATGATGGCAACTAACTCGTCCACCGCTCGAAATCTGCGCACAAATTAAGGGCCTTATATCGCCGGTTCACGCTTCTCCGAGTTTCGAAATCTTTCAAAGGACCCAGTTGGGCGCGTGCCATGAATGCGTCAAAACATGCTGGGCGAACCGTCTCCCAGGGAGGGCAACTTGTCCACTTGAACCGCTATTTTTTTTCCCCGAATAGGAAATGTCTTGGATGAGAATCAAGCGCAGATAACACTTACGACATTAAAAAGGATAAAGGATAAAGTCTTCGCCGTTGATCAATCCCTTTGTGGGATGCGGCACGCATTCTACTTCCATTCAGAATCGTAGTGGGTTATTGAATGCGATGTGGCCTATACAATGACTTGCGGCCAGCCAGATGTTACAAGTCATGTTTTATCCTCCCAGGACAATCTGTACCAATGCCCGTCCGGAGGGTAGAAGGCTTGGTTGGCCTGGGCGGGAGTCGACCCGGGATTCGAACCCGGGACCGCGCGAATGGTGAGCGCCCCACTTGTCACTACACCATCTCCGCCTCACTTACGCATTATGTAGTCTCAATTACGGAAACCTCGCACATCAGCGATTCGGGCGAGTTGTCCAATTGCAAAACTTGTCATTACATTTTAATTGCAATTTAATCGTGCCAAACGACCTCCTCCCCGGTTGCGCTTGGTGTGATCACTTACTGTCGCGCGACAACTCGTCCAGGAGGGGGTGGGGACCGCACCATACACAGAAAAGGTGAACTAATGAAATTCCAGCTGCCAATGCCCGAATGGCTACCGCGATTTGAACCCCTCACATCCGGGACGACAATGCCTCGCCTACGTGGGAGTCAACGAGTGTGAGAAACCGGAACTCAATGAATGCTCACCGGATGCACGTTGTATTGACCTGGATTACCTTTACAAGTAAGTTTTGCAAAAATAATTTCTCACCTTACGACGCCATTACTGGGGAATTTTGCAAAGATGCGGAGTGATATCACCGTATGTAAACGCAGCTCCTGAGGGTGCAGTGCCTGGCTCGATTTGTACCATTGATTACTGCTCCGATGTACATTACTGCCCATTGAACTCGACCTGCAAGAATGTCGGCGATCAGGTGACTTTACGATACTTCGCAAACAAAAAGCAGAAAAAATCTTAAACTTTTCAAAAACTGCTCGATTTCAGGCCAAATGCGATTGTAACCCAGGCTTCGTCGATCTGCGCAAATCCGACAGGCTATCTGAGGTGAGCCTCTACTTACCGCTCATCATGCAAAGACTCTGTAGGAGTATATCTCCTGGGCTGGGCGGAGTTATTCGTGATGGGCAGAGGTTTCCGCAAGCGTCGGCTCGCAAAAAAGTGTGCCTTCGTTAGGGCACGTCGTATTTCCGAGAGGGTCATAACTCTCCGTGAGGAAATTTTTCGTTGTTTGACTTCCTCCACTTGCTCTTTGTTCGAGTGTGCTGTACACCCGCAACCTCCCACCAGAGGAGGTAAACCCTCGGAGGGGGCGCGGACTTTGCATAATAGCAGAACGTGCCCTGGGTAGATTGACAGTACAAAAAGTGCAGTTGGTGGGGCCGTTGAGAAGCTGGCTGTAGGGGGCGGGGTCATATGCGGCAACACTGCGAAACAAGTATAAACCTATGAAAACATAAAAAAAGCGTTCTAGTGGAGTGGGTGCGGCATGGTTAGGCGGTTTGAGATGCGGACGTATGGCGTACAGCCTCGTCAATGCACCTATCTAGGCAGGAGAAGCGAGAAGAGTAAAGGCAAACAATAAAAACGATTCGCATATCCGATCCCGTAAATTTGACTCGAATGAAACACGCGTTTGAAGCGGGAGGGTCGTCTGGGCCGGACTGAAGCGTGCACGCTTTCTACAGTAAACTAAATCGAATTTGAGTACGTGTTTATGCCGAAAATCGGCAAAAACCGATGAAAAAGGTCAATAGAAGTAAAGCAAACACCGATGAAAATTTCCAACCAGGGTGGGCGGGGCTGTTGTCCACAGCCCGAGAAACCTTATAGAAGGATGTTCCGCGGCAACTCTGCTGCTTGGCGGCCTGTAGCAACAAAACTGAACTACAAAGCAGAAACGGCGGTAGATTTCTTGTAGAACTGCCTTTTCATCAAACCGAAATCGGTGCTATTCCAGGCTGGACTCGGTGATGCGATCTGCATGCGACATACGGATGTGAACGAATGTGCCCTTGGACTGCATAACTGCAGTGCTGCTGCGATTTGCACGGATTTAAAGAATGGCTACGAATGCAAGTGTCCTGATGGGTAAGTCGACCTAGGAAGATGCGATGGTAGAGACGCAGAATACGCACCTTCGTTGTCTGACGTCTGTGAGTGAAACACTTTTGTTTCAGCTATACCGATGGTAATCCGCAGAACCTGGCCGAGTATGTGCGGCATTGCTCTGCGGTCTGTGCAACGGTCATGGCGATTGTATTCATGACAGTGTCACCAATAACGTCACCTGCTCATGTGTCGACGGCTATTCCGGACAGTTCTGCGAGGTAATCGATATTCGTGCCGTTATTTTCATTGATTAGATTGCGGGAAACGAAACTTAGGAGACTGAATCGAAATCTGAAAGACTGCACGGGAGTGTAAAAGGGACCTGCATAGACTTGTCGTCACGATCGATTCCACGATAGCGATAACGATGATCTCTGGAGATCAGTCTAGAAAAGGCCGCAGTTTTTAGTCCCTTCTAGTCATACATGCATTCTTTAGATCTCTTGCGTGCGGTCGCGAGGCAGCTGATATGGCCCAGTACCACTCGAGCGAACTAGAGGAATGCTGCAGCTTTTCTAGGGCTTTGTTCTCCACCAATTATGTCACTCGCCAGCTTCTATAACTGGAGGAGAACAATAGGATGCCACTACGCCAAACCCATACCTCCCCCCCTAAACGCCCACCTTCTGTAGCAAACAAAACTATTATCATGACCTGTCAGAAGGAGCAAGTCTAACTTGCTTTTGTTCTTTGTAAGGCTAAAATGACGTTGCGGGGGCACTGCGTGCGTGCGCATTCGCATCATATTCGATGTGGAGCTGCTGCTGCATGTCGAGTCAACTAGCCAGGAAATACTTTCTAGTTCGTGTGCGGCATGCGGTCGCCGCAACGTGTATGTCTTGTCCCACACCCACAACTTGTGGTTAAATTTGGCAGATTTGGAAAATCCTTAAATCGATCCTCTCGCAGAAATTACTTTCAAAAAAAGTTCACCACTACCTAGTGTACACATTACCGTATGGATCTGTACCTGAAATTCTATCCAGCGACAACGCGAAAGGGGGCGTGGCCTTCTCGGATCCCCTTGGGCAGCCACGCCCAGTCCCCTGAGTCCCCGAGAAGAGGTGTGGCATCCGTAGATTCCTCTGTGGAGCCACGCCTACTCTTACTCAAGACTTTGAGCGATGCTCAGGGATGCAAAGAAGACGAGCTGGCATTGTCGGATTCAGCTCTCCTGTAACGTCGAAAGGTGGTAGAAAGGGAATTGACCCTAACACCAGAATTCTTCACGTTGCAGGTTGCCCCGTCAAATGCCGGCCTCATTCTGATGACGATTCTGGCTCTGCTCTTCCTACTGCTCACTTTACTGTGCTGCCTGTACCTATGTGCACGATGCCGGTAGGTTCATTTCTCGATTTTTGAGAATGCCTCAACTATTCCAACCTTTCAGCTGCTTCGGTGGACGAGGTGTAAGCGAAGGCAGTGCGAGCGGCCGTGAAATACTTGGCTCCGACTACTACACCATACCTCGCGCTAAACTGAAGCCTTACTCGTTGAAATGTTTCAGTCATGCGACAACGTCCCTTGTCTGTTTTATGCAGAGGACACGACAACAATTGTGTCAGAATTAACAATAATCCTCAGAAGCAAGCATAGGCACCTCCAGCGGTTAAGTTGAAACATTGCCGGCCACGCCCTATCGATCTCAGGCGATTTTCGAGACTACGATAGATGCAGCCGTGTATATCTACGAGCGGTTCACTGAGCAAGATGCATACGCGAAACTCATCCGAAACTGTTTTTCTAGTCATTCAAAAATGAAGGTTTTTTCGCAGGTTTCTTACCGTTCCACTTCGTTTTTTCGCCATTCTTTCACTATATGGCGCCCCGCTAGCATTTTAGACGAATATCTGATTCATGCGCTCCACTGCTTTAATCAAGTTGAACAGCCCGAATAATCGATTTGTTTCAGAGCTTTACGTGTATTCTGCGGGGCGACAATGTTTGCTGAGTACTTCTTTTGGTCAGGCAATTTCGTATCATCGTTGTCCAAGGACGTGGGGCGCGTTTCCGCCTTAGGAACTGATGACAATGACTAGGGAGTTTCTCTCGCGCTTCGAAATCAGTTATTAAAAAGTTTTCGGCGTTGAGCTATTCACTTTGGGTCATCATGAAAATAACGATGTGATGTGAATTCGAATATCCACCCCTTAGTCGGCTAAAACCTCACGTCTCCTTTCAATATCTTGACTAACGAAAGCACCATCGTGCATACGGGAGCGAGAAGCTCTCCTTTCGAACCTTATTGACAAAGTTTCGAACATAAGCCCTTTTTCAGGTCATTTAATTATAAAAATAAGGTAGATCATCGGCACGTCAATAGTTACAGCGTCAAGAGTAATCATAAAAAGAACCACCTACAGCGAATTGTCTTCACGGAGAAGGCGGGAAGGATGTGTGCCAAGCATTAGTCGCTGATACCTGGGCAGAAATGTGAGAGTGAGTATGAGCGACTGTGAGTATCACACATACATCATTGCATGACATAGGCCAGACCTAGGATTGTGCACGACTTGCCTTCTTGTGTGGTTAGTGCACGGCTTACACTGATATCAGATCAATCGCCTCTTACTGTTTACAAGTTTGGCTGACGCGCATAACCGCCCCCATGGTTGATCCTATGGTACTGATGAGTGCCTTCTGTGCTGAGCCACTCAACTTGTCCTAATGGACCATGTTTCTAAACGCCCATCATCGTGTTCTCTCTTTAGATGAACATTGAATGCTTTTGCATTATCCATAGTTCCAAAAGCAGTCAATTCGTTGGAAGAATAAGGAGAGCACAGCTGGGTGTGTGAAGTATTTCGAACGGTAAAATATTCAAAATCTTTAGTGGCTCTCATCATTCTTCAAACAACTTCCGACTTCCACTTATGGGTGAAACTCGATTAGCGGTCGATGCAATTTCGACCGTTAAACTAAAGAATTTCGCTAAGCTAGAAACAATTGCTGTGGCCGTCACTAAGCCTATTGTCCCATTTGATTGCTGAGCATGATAGAAAACTCCAAAGCCTTTGTCATACGCTTCAGACTTAGCTTCCCACCATTAATGTTTCCAAGCACGCCTGCTACTTGCTGGCAAGCAGCTACCCGGAGTGCTCACTGAAACTCGCTTTGTGAACTTTTGGGGCCATCTTGACAGCCTCTGAGTACATGATCCACCCCCACAATTGCATGTTTCCATCTTGCCCCTAGCCTTTCTCTTGGAGGCAACGTCCCATCCCGGTGTTATGAAGTTGTGGCCGGTGTTATGAATTTGGCGACCCTTCCCTTCTGAGGCTCCTGATGTTTTCATATCAGCTGTTATCACGTCCTGCCACCCACCAATAATGTTCCCATCCTCCCTTCTATATCACTCCTTTAAACCGAAAGAAAGTCCTGCCGTCGCTGTGACGCATGTCATGGATTTCGTGTCTCTTCCCCTCTAAGGTTCCTTATAATATCTTATCAGCTGTTATCACGTCCGGCCACCCATCAGTAATGGCGCTATGAATTTAGTGGCCCTTCCCTTCTAAGGCTCCTTATGTTATCTTATCAGCTCTTATCACTTCCTGCCACCTACCAATAGTGTTCCTGCCGACCTCCTACATCACTTATCAGTTTGAGCGCACTATCGCTGTTTTGAAGGAAGTTATGAATTTCCGGTCAAACACACATACAGACAGACAAACATTCACACAACAGAGTAGGATCGTTGAGTACTGCTGCTTTTCACAGGCTTCTATTATTTTTTCTTAACTTGGTCCACCACATTTCCGTCTAGAACGGAGATCGGAAGTTGGGCTACCTCCCTTAAACTCACCGTAGTGTACGATGCCTCGAGAATGGATTATCAGTTTAGTTCTCGAGACCACGCATAGGGATTATGTGGTCCTTCAGTCTTCTGTGTAGTGGCCGTAGTGTTCCTCCCGGGTAAATTTCGTGACATGAAAGGCCCACCAGCTTGTACACGACACGATTTTCCTGACATATACTCCTTATACCCTGAGCCAGAGTAGGCGTGGCATTTGAACATGGCACGGAATGGGCTGCGACAACTGTCATCTTGTTCTGCGTTGGACAGAGACACGACAACAATTGTGTCAAGATGAAAATATCTCACCAGAAGCATAGACACCTTCAGGTTAAGTTGAGCATGCGGCCACGCCTACCCGATTTCATTCGAGTATACCGTGTGCTCTCTGCAATTGCACAGCTTGCTCATTTACACGGACTTTCACACTGTGTTCAAGGACACGTTCAGTGCAGTTCTAGGAGTTCAGGGAGCCATCTATATCACAAAAACGGCACTATTCATGTATTACTACCCAAAAAATCAAAAACCTTTTTCGCTGAAACTTTGCCCACAGAGGTAATTCGGTGTCCTGATCACGAATATAGCACTCGTTTTCGGCGCTGGCGCCGAAATTGGCGCCATTTGGAGCCAGTTTGGCGCCGCCACCCTTCTCATCAAATTTTATGTAAATTTCCATAATAGGTTCACTTGATGCCCTGATCACGAAAACGCATTTGTTTTCAGCCATGGCGCCATTTAGCGCCGTTGGGCGATAATTTGGCGCCACACCATTTTTAGTCAAAATCGATAAAAACCTGCATAATAGGGTTGTTTGATGCCCTGATCACGAATATGACATTTATTTTTCCACACCAGCGCCATTTAGCGTTCTTTTAAGGCTGAGCCTGGGAGAACGAGTGATTCCCTTCAGGGCAGAATCAGCCTTATCAGGAAAGGTGAACAGGTCAGCCCGGCCATTTCCAATGGGGTGCACACCGTTGTGCGCGTTCAGACGGTGAACTCAATTCTGTCTTCAGAATTTGCGGAACGATTCTCTGAGCGGAGTTATGGAGGGATTTATCCCCTCGTAGTTCTTTTACATGGTAGTCCAAGGAAACGTGGAAGCGCCTTTACAAATGGCTTACTTTTTTTGCATAGTCCCAAAAACATGGCCGACAAAGCATCTAGCAATTTCTGCTCGCCTGCACTACCTTGTAGGGTGACCTGCGACCAGTTTTTCACGAAAGTGTAGACCCATTGTGGCCTGAAATGGTGCTTCTGCTGTAACCCCCCGCAACAGTTCCACAAGGTTTTTTGCAATGAAAGTATCAACATGTTTCATTTCACGGTCAAATTACCCCTATGACGGACAAGTTCTAGCCGAATCTGATATTTGTCGGCCCTAAACTCGGAATAATGTGGAATATCCATGGGCAATAGCAAACAATTGGAGCCACCTGTCGTCGATGACTGGTTTCGGGATGGAATTCTTCCCAGTAATCAGGAAAATGATGTAGACGGCAGAATGAGCAAGCCAGGTACTGTTTCTTATGGCGAAAAGACATACTGAAGAGTCATTCAGCTCGAAGACAGCAGTCGTCACAGTACTAGCCGAGTATCGCTGTTGACTACCAAGTTAGGATCAGACTAACACGACCCCCGCCATTTACGAAGCTGTGATCAGAACCACCAGTTGCAAAAGATGCCGTCTCTAGGGTTTACTTGGCCGCCCCTCGAACACGAATAATATCTATTTTGCGCGAAAAGTGCTTTGAGTTGCGTACAGGTGCAACGCCTTCGGTCCGAAGCGCGCCAGATGAAGACTTCTTAAAAGATCTCACTTCACACCTATCATGCCTCTCGGGGAAACTCGCCTGCGGTGTTGCCTGACTTAATTGCTCTCTCACTAGCTCCTGACCTTTCCTCACTTGAACGATTAATCATGACGAGAACTAAGGACTACAAATTGAAAAATTTGAATCACATGAAACAATCAAAGATGAAAAGCATGCTAAAATGAATTAGAAATGAAACACATAAATTAGGCTTAGATGGTAGTGTTAGTAACAAATCTAGACATTTTTCGACAATATTCTTCCGCTTCGATTTGAGATGCGCCATTTCGAAGGCATACAAGCATCGAAGTTCAAAAAGAAAACGTGCACAAAGGGAAAGGGAGTGGTGTACTGCCGGAGACATCATGGAAAATCAGAGAATTGGTTGGTGAACGGAAAAAAAAGGGGTTTATGCTCTACTCTGCGTTACACAAACAACATTGCTAAAGATTTCCGCTGATCAGCCCGCTTAAATACTGATTAGCGACGACCTTTATATAGGTGTGAGGTTGATAAAAGAGATGCCAACAGTCAACGTACTGGGCGCATAATTTAAGCGAATAACCTCCGCTATAGAGGGCATCAAATAAAGTCTCAATTGCAAGCGAGTTCTTGCGCAAGAACAACATTCAATCGTCGCATAAGGTAATTACAGAGCCTAGAATTCAGATCATTGGACCTTTCATGAGAAAACAATACGAATTTTTTTTCAATACGTGCTCGCTTTTTCTATTGCGACTGGGCAGTATTTTATGTGTTACGTTTGCATTTCACGTTGCCTAACGGTCAATGTCTCTTGACATGTAATTTATGGAAACATCTTTTATT